TATCCTCAATCAACCCGGCAGCTTCTTTTGCTAGTCGGAGATCCTTCCCAACCAGTCCAACGTCCTTGAAGTATAGATTGAAGGCTGACAAGAGGTCTTTGAGGCAACTCCTAACTGTATGCAGCACGAGGTCCACCTCTGGGACACGACGCGCTTTGGCCTGGGCGTCCGGGTCGCTGGAGAGTGGGAAGTTCACATCCGTCCAGTGAGCATCTAGCCCGCCGTTGATGAATGGCTCAAGGACCGTGATGGTCTCTGTGAAGAGGCGCACAACGCCGGGAACATCGCTTTGTACTTTGCCGTATTGATCCTCTGCAAGACTTGCGATGAGGAGGCGGGTCAACGACTCAATAGCATCAACGATGGAAGATAAACTTGCATGCGGTGTGCCGAGGACTATTCCGGATAACCGGCGGGCGTAAGTCTGTCGCAGGATGAGGCCTATTGGCGAGCGAAGCACCTGTGCGAGCAGAGGGTGCACATTCTCTGGTTTGCTCGTCGGTCCGGTGAGCATCTTGAGCTCCCGGGAAGAAGCGAGCAACTTCTGCTTTCGTTCAGGGCTCAGCACAGCTGAGGACGCGCGGTCAAAGGCATCACGAGCTCGAGCCCTAGCTGTCGGTGTCCAGTCGGGCGATTGTCCATACTTCTTGGCTGCTGAACTGAAGGCCTCTCCGATTTTCTCATGTCGCGATCCCGCCTTGGGCGAGCTCGCAAAAATGTTGTCTTCCTTGGGAGGCTCTGCTAAGCGCGGCAGAGCATGGAGAACAGGTTGTGATTTTTCGGTCTGCTCCTCAGGCTTCGCGTTTCTCGTCGGGGTTTTCTTCTCATTGATCCTGTTAGAGACGCCCTCGATGACCTCAGTGGCAGACTGCAGGATCTGAGTCCAGGTGGAGCCACCTTCACGGTCGATGTCGTTGAAAATCGCCTTTCGCCGATCAGGAAATTGTTGACTGATGAGGCAGAGCTCCCAGAATGCAAAGGCCTTTACTGTCTCCTTCTTCGCCTTTAGGCCGGTCAGTAGGCTGCCGTTAGGATCCTTTGCTTCCGCTGTCAATGGTTGACCTAGCTTGAGGGGTTCCTTGCTGATAAACATCGAGAAGAAAAGGTTCGCGGATTGCCAGCAAAGGGTTAGTAGTCCTCCGGATATGGCAGTCCGAATCATAAGGCCAAACCCAAAGTCAGGAATGACACCAGGAGGATCCGCTGCAGATCTAGGAAAATTCCAAAACAGCTTGGCGAAATACAAGGTGAAGCTCCATGCTGGCCGCCTGAGGAGTAGGACGTAGGCGAACGGGCATATCGCTGCAACAAGTGCGCTCCTTGCGAGACCACCCCTGATCATTCCGGGCAAAGCGCTTTGGATGCGCTTGGAGACTGGTTCTAACGGATGAGTTCTTCGGTCTGAAGCACCAGAGTCTGGCTTAACCACAGGGATAGGAACGCGGTCGTAGTCGTAGTAGAGATGGACGATTGACTGGGCAATTGCCAACAGCACATGGTAGGTATGAAGGTAGATCGGCCTCTCGTTTAGTGTTGCTCGCTCATGCAGCCTGATTCATCTCTAGGTTAGAATAGTCCTGCAGAATCCATTTCGTGGACACATACCTGCCCCGTTTGACCCATTCCAGTTGCGCGCTTGTAGGACACGACCACTTGTAGATCTCACTGAACCACCAAGCAGAGAACAGGTACCAGCCGAAGGTTTGTATGACGTTGAGTGGGACAAGGTACTTAAACGTACCGATCGGCGATGCAGTTGTTCTCGACCCAAGATGCATCTGACCGACGCGCAACACGAAAACGACGAGACTGGAGAGAAAGAGAAGAACTGCGCGGAAACCGCATGCTCCAATTGGGAACCATGCCCATAAAACTAGCAGGAAAGGAACGGAGTCAGCTACCAACTGCAGCTATACACAATAGCCCGATGCAGAACTCGGACCACTCGTAAACCATGCCACTTACAGGATGATTTGTCTCCGAGAAGGAATGCAACAAAATAGCAGACTGAGAGCGCTAGGGCAGATGCATGGACAAATCTCCGATGCAGCGCAGATGTCAGAATGCGCCTATATGGCCGAGGCGTAGCGGCGGCCATGATGAAAAATGAAAGAGGGACACTGAGATCTCTAGGTAGAGAAGTAAACGTAAGAAATTTAAAGCATGATCAAAGTCGCCGAGCGATTTGAGCCCTATACCAAGGGACGGAAGACTAGGGTACAATGGCGCCTCTGTGGAGCAGCAGGAACGAGGACGATGCGTTGTGACAGCTGCCCGAATACGATGATAAAATAATAATTGAAGCTTTTGGGGCAAAAGCATCAAAACACACCAGCCACAGCCTTGTTGGTCAGGTGATGAAGCTAGCTGATGAGGTAGATGACGCTATTCCGCTTGCAGATTTCCAAGGCACTGCCGCACTAGATACATCATGTGATAGAAGCCTGCAGATCCGGGCATCAACAGTGCTGCTCCAAGGCAACCTCCGCATGTTGATGTATCATCCTGCCGCAACATACTCTATCACTTACTTCCACCATAACGACGCACATCATGTCCTTCGATCGTTTGAACTCCCTAGAGGCGCAGCCTACTACTATGCGCCGTTCGGAGGATCCTCACTACCGTGATGACCCCGACTTTGACCGTCTTACAGAGAGTCTCTCAAACCAGTTGTTCACTTTGACCTCGAATATCACACGGCTGTCGGACCAGATCGCCCTTCTAGGAACGAAAAGGGACACTGAGCGGGTGCGGGAACGAGTTCACAATCTCCTCGAAGAAACTCGATCGGGGTTCAAGCATGTAGGCGAAGGGATCAAGAAAGTCCAGATGTGGGAGGATGTTAATGTATGTTGCCGGAATATATATTGTTGCTTCCCTTGGCTGCGACTAATACTAAATGACTCGTTAGCCTTCACAAAAATGGACTCAACAGAAGCTGTCGTCAGAGTTCAAGGCGACACTGGAGGAGTTCCAGACCGTTCAGCGTCGAGCTTTGGAGAAGCAAAGAGCGTCTGCAGTTGCCGCTCGCACAGCAGTGGAAGAGGGGGAACATGCGCCAGTAGATGGTACCTCCCATCAGCAACAACAATTGCTCGAGGAGCAGCCTCGTCTCGCCAACCAAGAAGAGGTGGACTTCCAGGAGGCTCTTATCATTGAGCGCGAAGCGGAGATTCGCAACATTGAGCAAAGCGTTGGCGAGCTGAACGAACTATTCCGTGACGTCGCGCATATTGTTCACGAGCAAGGAGGCCAGCTGGACATCATTAGCGAGAACGTAGAGAGAGTCACTACGGACACTCGGGGCGCGAACGTCGAGCTCCGCAGCGCCAGCAGATACCAAAAGAACGCTCGGAACAAGGCTTGCTGCCTCCTTCTTATCCTTGCCGTGATTTTGGTCATTATTGTCCTAGCAGTCACTCTCGGATAGTCTGCTATGGCTGTATCGGACAGCTCGGATTACTTCGGTTGGCCTTTCTCAAACCGACTACCCTTTTGCCTTCCCTCTTACGACGATATCCTCACCTGAACGATTCCATGTATGATTTTACCTTGAATTGCTGGTACTGATTCACCACACTCATGACTCGTTTCCTTTGATGAACAACAGGCGCATTTGGAGTGAAGAATATTTCATTAGGGGTCCTGCTTTGCGTGCTTGTTCCTTATCATACATATAGCTGCTGTGTTATACAAGAACATACACCGAGATGATTGCTGCTAATATACACCCAAACTCCTTTTCGCCTCTGTATGTGCAAGCGGGGAATAATAAACAAACGAGTTAACTGATCGACACAGACGCGTGTTCTATAGCCCCGTAAAGCGTCTGAATCTCATCCTCCAGCCCTCGAACGTATTGAGCTTTGGTCGTACATCGAGGTAGAAACTGAGCTTCCCCGGCCCCGCGTTGGCCGTCAATCCAGCTGGACCGCCGTCCGTTCCTGATGACTTCCCCTGGTAGAAATCAATGACGTACTCAACACGCTCGCCATCACATCTTTCCACCACCCAGTCATGTCGGTCGAAGGGCTTTTGGTATCCTAGCAAGCTATTGAACCTGGCGCGGGGACTGAGAAACTGGGGATCGACGCCCAGCCCGCGGAATGAATACAGCTTTGGTCCACCGCATTTTTTGCTACCAGGATCCGACGACGGCGCCTGACTTTCCCATTCGAGGATCTGCCTCCAGGCACGCTCATTGACGGCGTTATGGATGGGGATAATCGATGCTACTGTTGTCGCCAGTTCGGACGCCGAGCTTGTGGCGGCAGGTGTGTTTCCTTTCCGTACTAGAGCCTCGAAGAATTGTCGCTCAGATGGATAGATCCAATTGCCTGTACTCTGGTCATGACCCGTCTCGGCCTCCGCATTCGATGGTGTGCCGTGTGATGCGGCATACGGCGACGGACATGCCGCGGGAGCTTCGGAGGAGGATGCTCGCGATGAGGCATCGAAAGCTCGTGGTATGCTGCTCACTTCACGATCTGTGGACAAAGGCCGCTGAAGCTTTGTCTTCGCTTTCTCTTCTTCTCCAGGCAGAGGATGGGAAGCTCCGCCCGAAGCCTTGTGCTGCTGCAACCATATCTCACGGGTCTTGTGATCGACAGGACAAGTTGCAGCGGGAGCTGAGTCTGCAGGGGGGACAGATGGCGTACTTGCACCGGCGCCCATTTTGTCAATTGCGGACAACCAATCCAAGACAAGACGTACGATCTCAAGGTCTTATCTCACTGAAAGCACCCATAAAAATTGCTGGATTAGTCAAGAGATTCGGAAGGCGGAGAAGGATTTCGGATGCTTGACCGCCTTTCACCGCCGACCTTTTAGAGACACCCACCGCACTACTTCGTACTGTAGAATGCGCTGATTGCCCGAAAGGGTAACGCCCGAGATGGTCAAATAATCCACAGCCCCTCATCAGCCATTGAGTTTATAGTATACCACTTTTCCCCCCTCCTTTCGACAGAAACGCTACTCCCTTGCATTCGAACAAGATGGCGGCTACTTCTGATCGTACGGTTTATCGGGCTACCACTACCGCCCCGGTCAATATTGCTGTTATTAAGTGAGTTGGCGATCGCCCCCCTAATCCGTCCTGTGGTGATTCTCGTTTCCTCCTAACAGGGGTACTCTAGGTATTGGGGTAAAAGAGATGCGTCTCTGAATCTGCCAACCAATTCTTCCCTCTCTGTTACTCTTTCTCAGCGCTCCCTCCGAACCCTCACTACCGCCTCCTGTTCAGCTATCTACCCCGCCGCAGACGAGCTCATCTTGAACGGCAAGCCCCAGGATATTCAGTCCTCCAGACGCACACTCGCATGTCTCTCCAATCTGCGTTCCCTCCGTCAGGCTCTCGAAAATGCCGACCCCTCATTGCCTAAACTGTCTACTCTCCCATTGCGGATTGTTTCCGAGAACAACTTCCCCACCGCTGCTGGTCTTGCGAGCTCGGCCGCTGGTTTCGCAGCACTTGTCCGTGCCATAGCGGATCTCTATCAGCTTCCACAATCTCCCTTAGAGCTCAGCCGTATTGCCCGCCAGGGCTCCGGCTCTGCTTGTCGGTCTCTGATGGGCGGTTATGTTGCCTGGCGTGCTGGCGAGCGGGAAGATGGTAGTGACAGTCTGGCTGAGGAAGTTGCTCCTGCATCTCACTGGCCTGAGATGCGTGCAATCATCCTGGTTGTCAGTGCCGAGAAGAAGGACGTCCCCAGTACAGAGGGTATGCAGACTACTGTTGCTACCTCGAGTCTCTTTGCTACCCGGGCCGCATCCGTTGTCCCTGAGCGGATGACCGCCATTGAGACGGCAATCCAGAACAAGGACTTTCCTGCCTTTGCCGAAATCACTATGCATGACTCTAACAGCTTCCACGCAACTTGCCTCGACTCCTGGCCTCCAATCTTCTACATGAACGACGTCTCCAGAGCTGCCGTGAGACTCATCCACGACATCAACCGTGCCGTTGGCCGGACTGTGTGTGCTTACACATTCGACGCTGGCCCGAATGCTGTTATCTACTACCTTGAGAAAGACTCGGAGCTGGTCGCAGGAACCGTCAAGGCTATTTTGGGCCCCAACACTGAAGGGTTCGACGGCCCATTCTACGATATCTTGAAGAACGTCACTGCTTCAGGCGTGTCACTGGAGAAGGTTGACTCTAGAGCTGTGGAAGTTCTGAAGAACGGCATCAGCCGCGTCATTTTGACTGGTGTCGGGGAGGGTCCTATCAGTGTGGAGGATCACCTTGTGAGCGCAACAGGTGATATCCTCTCTTCTTGAAATGCTATGAGCACTGCAAAACATCTTAATCAGCTATGTACAAGTGCCCTGAAACATGGTGCTTGGTACGAGAAGATACCCGGCTGTGATCATTTTCTTTACTTCTAAATCGTCCATTATAGTTTTAATCCAGATTTGTTTAATGCAAAGACTGGCGCAACAACAGTTCCAATCATGCGCGTCAAAATATTAAGCTACAACAGCATATCATGTTTTTACAGCATTGCACGGTGCAACGTCCATTAGCACGTGGTAGACGCTGTTGGATTTCGGGTTTATATCTCCTTTTTATCTATCCAGTATTTACCTCAGCAGATAGTGGCCCAACAAACATGCTCAAAACTCATTCATGTCAAGAGACTAGTTCAGCAGGGCAGATTTCTTCATTTCCTTGACCGCTGAGACTTCCCGCCCTGGTTTACCGGTGCCGAGCACGGATGTGACACTCTCAGCGAACACGCGCTGTCCCCCACGAGGTCTAAGTTCTTCGGCACCGTCGACGTTTTCCCCGTCGAGGCCCTCTTCGGCATTCTCACTCTCGTCTTGTTCCGGGGCGCCGAACACTTCCTCTTTACTTTCAGCGCACATCTTTAGCACTTCCTGCATAGCTTTTTCAATAGCAACGGCGCGCTCGCGCATCCCCCGCCGCAGGAGTGCGTCAACAAGCGTTTCCACCTCCGGAACAGTCGAGTTGACCCGTTCAATGAGTCGACGCACACTGTTGACCAGGTACTCCTCTTCGTAGACCGTGCCCTTCTTACCACGCGCCCGCTTTCGCTCCTCACGCCGCCGGGTCTTGGACGTATGTCGTGAGGATGTCGTTTTGCCTGTGTACCTCGTGAACATGGTGCGACCAGCCAGTGTGGAGGCGTCCGTGGGAGCCAGAGAGACGTTATCTGGAATATCAACTCCTAGGTCACCGGTGGTTGGATCACCACCGAAATAGGCTAGGGGATCGGCTGCACGCCGTTCACGTAGTTCTCGGATACGTGGAACCTGGGCATTCAACTGTGACCTGAAGTCGGCGAGGAGGTCCGTCGTGGTTCCCATGGCATCTGCGAGACCTGTGTCCACAATCTCCGGGATAAGATCTTTTTTGCCGTGGAGCGCGAGGATACGCGTTGCATCCGCGAAGCGAGAGCCGCGGCAGAGCAGACGGGCGGCTACCGGTATGTCGTGCAGGTGCTCTGCGTGGATTTGAGCTGCAGAGACGTAGTCGCGGCTTTCTTCTGTCAATGTAGTCGATAGAGCAAGTGCGTGTGCGGTGAGGTCGGCGTCCGATAGAGGAACCATTAGGGCACAGTATAGAGACTCGCGCCAGAGGTGCGCCAGGTGATAGCACTTGTATGCATCTTCGTAGAGCGAAAGAGACTCGTAAGCTAGAAAGAAGTCAGCATCAGTGTGTTCGCGGGCGGCTTGGAGAGATTATCTAAGAATGGAGAGACGTACCGATTCCTGCTTCTTTGTATTTGGAGTGGTCATGCAGGAAGTCAGCATAGATATGTGTTATATCACGCAGCTGCTCTGGCTGATATTTGAACAAGTCAATCGCTTCTTTGTACAGCTCATGCTTTATGACATAAGCGCGCATCTCGTCATAGGCACTGAGAGTATGGAGATGCTTCAGAGCCTTGGCCCAGCGGCCAAGATAGTTGTCTATTTCGAAACGGCGTCGATCGTTGGGAAGCTGCTGAAGTTTCCGCAGGAATGGGAGGTACTCTCGAGGGTCCTGCACGAGATTAGAGACTCGATCGCCAGCCAGACGGCACCAATCTTACCCTTTGAGCCTGTTGAGCAACCAACAAGGTGAGCTCGAGGTCGTAGAGACCCAATGCATGGTCGTATAGACGGTGAGCATCTGTGAGGAAACACATATGCTCAATTGCGTCCTCTGCTTGCTCCGCGCTTTGTTCTGTAGAGCGGTCAGCAACTGCCAAAGGAGTACTCGTGACTGTAATCAAACCTCTCAGGCGAGCGACAAGCTGAAGTCCAGCTTCGAGATCCGGTGGCGATTTGCAAACATGTGCAGTGACCAGGTTATGCAAGTTGGTGTCTAAGCGTTTCTCAAGGGTGGCCAAAAACGCATCGCAGATCCGGTTCACCTTGCTGGTCTTAGTTGCCGGCTTGAAAGAGGCCGTACCTTCCGGCTGAACCGTGGTTTGAACTTCCTTGGGTGTCTTCAAAGTGTCCTTGTACAAGGTTTGCGAGACGTCGTCCTCACTGAGGGCAGGTCAGCAAGGCTCTCGAGAGGAAATGTCAGGCCGTCCACTCACCTCAACCGGGATAGGAATTCATCGATGAAATCAACCCTCTTCACTTGATCCACGAATAATGCAACGTTTTCCAGGAACTGTTCAGGTGCGTAATCATGAAGTATGTTCATGTCTACCATCTGGCTGCGACAGGAAAGAAACGCGGAGCGGTAGTCCTTTCTGTCGATGTAGTTTCTGATGCCGGCCAAGACCAGAGCTCGAGGGTAGATTGTCTCTATGTTGCCCCTGGGTGCCTGTAGGGTGACGGCAAATTTAGAGGGCATGACGGATACCAGTTTGCTTCCACGTTCGATACTTCGGCATCGTTCGTCTGTCTCGGGGGTGTCGGCAGGAACTTCCATCCCTGCAAGTCAAAATCAGCCATTAGAAAGTGGTGACCAGATCGCAATATTCAACAAACCTTCTGCTTTTGTCAAGTGAACAAACTTGAGAAGATGCTGGGAAGTAGTAAACAAGACGTGTGCTTGGGTCACGAGAAAGGACGTGCAATTTTTTGCAAGCAGTTGATTATTTGCATAAAGGGCCCCGGTCCTCGATAATGAAATTAAAATGCGCTTTTAAGCTGTCAGCCAGACTTCAGTCAATTGTAGGCAAAGAGATCTAATACCTCATCATCTGACAAGTGGACAGCCCGAGCCCAGTGAGTGTCGACAGCAGGGCTCTGATCCCAGGACTTCACTTCGACGTTTTCTTCGGAGAAGGCCTTTAGGACAGAGTATGCGATTGGACGTCCAGGTTGACGGACATGCGAAAACCACAAAACTTCATGTCCAAGGGTTGGAAAAATTGTGAGAATCTGCTCCGAGTCTGTTGTTTGATAGACGGTGGTCGTCGATCGAGTCTCGAGCGTTGTTCTTTGAATACAAACACTGTTCGGTCCACTGTTCCTGAGAATGTAGACTTCATTCTCGTTCAAAAAAGCGATCTGTCGTGGCCGATTGTCAACCGTGTCCGGCAAGGTATGGCTAGACTCGAGTATTGGAGAAGGAACAGGACGAGTCTCCAGTGACCACATGTAGATAGAGAAGCAATCTCTCATGAGGACCGCTATCCGAGTGCCAGACTTGCTGAATGCGACATCGACTACGTTTGAGTCCACTGGCACGTCGTTGTGAGCCATTGGTGGAGGAACTCCCGATAGCCTTAGGGGCGTCAACTTCAGGATTTCTTCTGCCAATTAGCATAAAGCTCTTCTGATCAGATGCGGATACAAACATACTTCCATCGATCACAGCAACAGCACCGACGTCATGAGGTGAGACGGTCGAACCATGGGAAACGTCGAAGACATAGTCCAGGTCCAGAATAGACGCTAAGAGACGATCATCAGCACGTATATGGAACAGTCATCGGAGTGCCAAGTACCTGAGCCACAAGCAACAGAGCGTAGAGCCTTCTCTTGATGCCATTTGAAGACAAAAGGATGAGGATAATCCGGCTTGACCAGCACAGGAACCTCTTGCTTGAGATAGTAGTGGTAGTTACCCATGGTCCAGAACTGTATGCGATCTCGGAACAAGACAGCAAGGACTGTCGAATCGACATTCCAACTGAGATGAATATCCGAGGCCCAGGATACTCTTTCTTCCTCGGTGAGGCGAAGTGAGAACTCTCCATGGCGCAAGCCGTTTCTCTCGAAAAACACCACATCGACCTTGTCTTCAAGCCTCTGAATTCCCGCTATCAGATTGCCGTAGGGCCGCCAGCTAAGGGCACCTTCTAGACCGTCGACTGGCTCGCTCACGCTGTCCAAAGTGCCTTCTCTGGAATAGACTCTAATCACGCGACGAACACCCGCTTCGATACTGTTCACAGCCACGTAGGCGCCGTCACCGCGCCAGCTGATAGTAGTTCTGCCGTCATCGTTGCTGCTCAATCGGCCCTCGCCTACCTTTTCAGGTATCGTGGGGTCCCTGAGGGCTTTGGCTCTCTTTCCTTGAAATTGTGTCTCTCGCTTGCCCCAGCCCACGGAGACATGCTGAGATGCCTTAAGATCTTCGGGGGTGAAGGTGATTTCAGCAACATTCTCAAACTCTCTAGTCATATAGAGAAAGGTATTGGCTCTAGTTGTGAGAGCCAGTAGCTCCTCATCCGGAGACCAAGCGGCTGCTGCAATTCCAACATCGACTGAACCCACGATCTCGATCTTATCTTCGCCCGGAAGGGGATCCTCACGAACGATGACGATATCGCCTCCCTCCAAGACCAAGCACGCGGTGAGATTGTCCGCGAAGTAATGTAGCGAGAGAACCCGATCACAGCGCAAATCAGGTAGCGGGCAAGGAGCATCCCAGGATGCGATGCATTCAAATACTTCTGCGCCTACAGGGTTCGTAAAGTAGCTGTCTTGGTGTTTCCTCCGAAGCTCAATGATGGGGTTCGCCTCTGTAGGTCCAAAGGTACAAACTACAGCGTCCGAAGCTGTATCCCACGCGGTAGCCGTGAGAGGAAGCTCATTCTGAAGATGCACCTCGGCGAGGCGCACGTTTTTCAAGTTGCGCATCTTTCAAGATATTGAAGATTTTACCCCGCCATATATCACCGAGGCTTGCACAAGTAAATAGTTGATTTAGAGTAATCAAGTAATCGACTTCATGAAAAGGCCTTTTTGGAATACTCGGAAAAGGATTAGTGCTTTTCCTGTACAATTAATCGTGTTGTCTGCGGACTGCAAACATAGCTGTGCCGGCCAAAGATTTTTAATTTTCGGACGGACAAAAGTGAGCGCTCGGCCAATGACTTCATTCATATTCTAACGGGCATCAACCCATCTACCACAATCCACTACAACCAACAACTACGAGGAACGAAAATCAATAGATAAAATAGGCTGCAAAGAACTGCTTCGTCGAAATCCTCTGAATTCTGAACTTTGTACATAAGACCGAATGCTTCAAGTATAGGATACATTTACCGTCATTTCCCAATGCACAAGGATGCCGAGGCGTGAGAAGTTTCAGCGTAACCGAGCTTCTTAACGGGTCTTATAGGTTTGCCAAACTGTATAGGAGCACTGTTAGAATACATACGATCCTGCGTTCGACCGCTGAGAACGTACCAGCAATGGCGAAGGGAGCACCGAACCCGGTGACTACATTCACAAGTCAGCATGATACATTGGCTGCATCGCGGACATTCAATCGGAGGTACGAACTCATGAAAGCCCAGTATCTCCAGAAGAAGTACTTGGTCAGAGGGTTGAAGGGAATGTTGGAGCGAGGGCCCTCAGAGTAGTGGTACGGACTGCCGAGCTGGGCCCGGGTGGTGGAAAAGCCACGACGGGCGACGAAGGAAGTGGCCATTCTGGCGCGGAGAGCAGAAGCGGCGTTCATCTTGAACACACCAGTCAGAGCCAATTGAAAGTAGAGGCAGTCAAAAAGTAACAATTACGCACCTTGAGGGAAGCAGGAGACACGATACCGTCGAAGTAACCCGATAATCGACCATCCGGAAGGGAAGAGAAGGAGTGGAACGATACACCTTCGGCTGCTCCGCGGAACAGAATCACGTGATTTATTGCACCGAAGTAGCAGGTTTTACCGGCGGTGAGAGCAGTTTTCCTCAAAAAACTGTTTCTGCCCAATCACACGCCGCCTTCCTCAGAAGGAACATTGAAATTTCTCGGTCAATCGCAGAGAACAACAGACGTCTCGGCTCAACCTGGCCTTAGTCTCTGCCATCTGCGGCTGATTCTGGAGTTTGTCTCGATCATGGATGAACTCTTCGATGTTTTTGAAGACCAACCACAAGCGGCAGCGAAGGTCACCGATGGCGCGCCCAAGCGACCCAAGAAAGACAAGAGCAAGAAGCGTCAGGTAAATGGCGATGTGAAGGAAAATGGCGCAGCGACAGAGAGCAAGGAGGATATCGAGATTCCCGATGCACCTGCTGGAGAAGTCGGGGATGGAGAACAGGCTGAAGCGCCTGCGACCGAAAACAACGAGCAACAACCCGATGCGAAACGTCCGCGACTTGAGAAGGAACCGCAGCCTATACTAGCAGACGAATTCGAGACGGCGCAGGAGCGCGAGGTTGCAGCATCTGCAGGTTTACAAGCCGCAAAGGAAACAACTTCCGTCAAGTTGTCGCACCAGGTTCGGCATCAAGTCGCCATTCCGCCCAACTATCCATACGTACCAATCTCGCAACACAAACCGCCTGAGAACCCTGCGAGGGTGTGGCCATTCACGCTTGATCCGTTCCAGCAAGTAGCCGTTGCATCCATTCAGAGAGAAGAAAGTGTTCTGGTCTCGGCTCATACCAGTGCCGGTAAGACGGTAGTTGCGGAGTACGCCATCGCGCAAAGTTTGAAGAACAACCAAAGAGTCATCTACACAAGTCCTATCAAGGCTTTAAGTAACCAGAAATACCGAGAGTTTGCGGCAGAATTTGGTGATGTTGGTTTAATGACCGGTGATGTTACTATCAATCCCACAGCGACCTGTCTGGTCATGACAACAGAGGTAGGCCTCCTTGACACTTCAAGCGCAACCTGGGTGTTTGCTGACGCGCGCGCCTAGATTCTTCGGTCCATGTTGTATCGCGGCTCGGAAATTATGCGCGAAGTTGCATGGGTCGTTTTTGACGAGATCCATTACATGCGTGATGCCAGTAAGTCATCGGGAGTCTGACCTTTAGAAGCTACTGACAGCTATGGCAGTTCGAGGAGTGGTTTGGGAAGAGACCATCATCTTGTTACCGGATAAGGTCAGATATGTATTCCTGTCGGCGACAATTCCCAATGCTATGCAGTTCGCCGAATGGATCGTCAAGATGCACAACCAGCCCTGTCACGTCGTATATACTGATTTCAGACCTACGCCTCTACAACACTACTTCTTCCCCGCCGGTGGCGAGGGAATCTTCCTCGTCGTCGACGAAAAGGGAGCGTTCCGGGAAGAGAACTTTCAAAAGGCAATGAGCAGCATCGCAGACAAGAAGGGAGATGACCCGTCTGATGCTATGGCCAAGAGGAAGGGAAAGGGTAAAGACAAGAAGTTGAATAAGGGCGGAACTGAAGGCCCGAGCGACATTTACAAGATTGTGAAAATGATCATGCTGAAGAACCTCAACCCCGTCATTGTCTTCAGTTTCAGCAAACGTGAATGCGAGTCCTGCGCTCTCAAGATGAGCACCTTGGCTTTCAATGACGATTCGGAGAAGGAGATGGTATCCAAGGTTTTCAACAGCGCTATCGAGATGCTTTCCGAAGAAGACAGGAACCTGCCTCAAATTCAAAACATTCTACCTCTGCTTCGGAGAGGTATCGGTGTCCATCATTCTGGGTTGCTTCCTATTCTCAAAGAAACCATCGAGATTCTCTTCCAAGAAGGACTTATCAAGGTGCTGTTCGCGACGGAAACGTTCTCAATCGGTCTGAACATGCCTGCAAAGACTGTGGTCTTCACGAGCGTCCGGAAATTTGACGGTTTTAGCCAGCGCTGGGTAACGCCGTCCGAATTTGTCCAGATGTCTGGCCGAGCTGGTCGAAGAGGTCTTGATGACCGCGGTATCGTGATCATGATGATTGGTGAAGAGATGGATCCTGCGGTGGCGAAGGAGATTGTGCGCGGAGAGCAGGATAGGCTCAACTCGGCTTTCCATCTGGGATACAATATGATACTGAACCTGATGCGTGTGGAAGGCATCTCGCCCGAGTTCATGCTCGAGAGATGCTTCTACCAGTTCCAAAACACGGCCGGTGTTGCCGAGCTCGAGAAACGTACGCTTAATCACTCGATAACTAGAAGGAGAATATTTGTGCTGACCCTGTTGCAGAACTCCAGGAATTTGAAGAGAAGAGGGCCAACATGACCATTTCTGACGAAGGCACCATTCGCGAATACTATGAATTAAGGACGCAGCTCGACAAGTTTGCAGATGACATACAAGCAGTCATCAGCCACCCAGATTATTCTTTGGCCTTTATGTCTCCGGGTCGTTTAGTGCACATCAAGCACAAAGACAAAGACTTCGGATGGGGCGTGGTTGTCAATTACAAACAACGGAAGCCACCAAAGAATTCAACGGAGGAGATTCCTCGTGACAAGAGATATGTCGTTGATGTTTTGCTCAATATTGCCGAAGGGCCGTCTGTGGCCACAAAGACATTTGAGGAGTTGCCGTCTGGAGTCAGACCAGTGAAAGAAGGGGACAACTCTCGGATGGAGGTCGTTCCGGTCCTTACCGAATGCATCCGCGCCATCTCCCATGTACGCATGAAGCTTCCCAAGGACCTGAATCCAAAAGAAGCCAAAAATGGAGTCAAGAAATCTCTTGCTGAGATCCATAAGCGCTTCCCTGATGGCATTGCTACACTTGATCCGATTGAGGATATGAATATCAAGGACGAAAGTTTCAAGAAACTACTCAGGGTAAGACATATATCTTCTTCTGCATTTACTTTGCATTGTGTGCATTGCTGACTATCATCACAGAAAGTGGAAGTTCTCGAGTCTCGTTTGCTTTCCAACCCGCTGCACAACTCACCCCGGCTACCAGAACTTTACGAGCAATATTCCGAGAAGGTGGAGTTGGGAACAAAGATTAAGGAGACGAAGAAGAAGATTTCCGAGGCCATGTCCATCATGCAGCTTGATGAGCTCAAGTGCCGTAAGCGTGTACTTCGTCGGTTCGGTTTCATCAACGAGGCCGAAGTCGTGCAGTTGAAGGCACGAGTCGCCTGCGAGATCAGCACAGGAGACGAACTCATGCTCAGCGAGCTTCTTTTCAATGGTTTCTTCAACAAACTTTCCCCGGATCAGATCGCTGCTGTATTGAGTGTATTCGTTTTTGAAGAGAAGTCCAAGGAGACTCCTGCTCTGACGCGGGACGAGCTGGCGAAGCCCCTAAAGGAAATCCAAGCGCAGGCCCGGATAGTTGCCAAGGTCTCTCAAGAATCCAAGCTGGCTGTCAACGAGGAGGAATATGTAAACAGTTTCCACTGGGAGCTTATGGAGGTCGTCTACGAATGGGCGAACGGCAAATCCTTTGCTGATATTTGGTAAGTTGTCCATCTGTCGGCACTCTGAGTCAAAGTCTACTTCGAAAACTAACTCGCCTGTCTCATTAGTGGAATGACTGATGTTTATGAAGGATCCTTGATTCGGGTCTTCCGTCGATTGGAGGAGTGTCTCCGTCAGATGGCGCAAGCCTCCAAGGTTATGGGTAACGAGGAACTCGAGAGCAAATTCGAGGAAGCTCTGACTAAAGTGCGCAGGGACATTGTGGCCGCGCAGTCCCTGTACCTGTAAATATCATTTTCTTTCTTTTCTTTTTATACCTCCTATGACCTACGTTGGTAGGGAGCATGTATGTGTCTATGGTCACAATTGTTTTTGAAGGTCTCGCATTTCCCTGGCGTCGGAAATGGAAAAAAGGATTTCATTGTTTGGTTCCTGTCTACTCGAATGGACGACATACGTTTCTATGATTTTAAAAACTTGTTCTCGAGCTTTTATCGATCACATATAATTGTAGAAATTAAACCTCGTCCCCTGAAAT